AGAGGCAAAAATTGGGGGAGATAAATGGTTTTCAGTAAAAAGAATCAAGGCTCCTTGGGAGAATAGCGGACTTCAGGACTGAAGCCAGGAATGGACAAGATAAGCTTTGACTATCTTGTACCAGGAAGCAAGAAAGTATCAGACACTATCGGGGCCTTCGTAAAAGTATACAGGAGATAAGGACAAATTGAGCATCGAGAAGAATGTTGACTGCAATGGGTTGAAACAAATACATTAAGATCCACAAGTTCTTAATGATACTTAAAAAAGAGAAACTCATTGATTATCATGGGAGGTTGTTAGAGCACAAATCATTACTCAGAAAATTGATTAAAGGAAAAAAATTAAGCCTTTTCCCTGTCTTTCCTACAGAATCTAAATTTCAGGGGACCCAAATAGTCCATGAGGGTAATTTTTTTATAGACAGAATTCCAATTAATAAACGCAAGAGGAATAATATCAAAAAGACAAGACATAACACGTGCTAGAGAGGATGCAGAGAAAGGGGAACCCTGTGCACTGTCAGTGGGAATGTACATTGGTGCAGCAACTATGGAAAACAATAAGAAAGTTCCTCAAAAATTTAAAATAGAACTATCATAGGATCCAGCAATTCCACTTTTTGTTCCTGTCTGAAGAAAACAAAACACTAACTCAAAAAGATTTCTATACCCCTATTTCACGGCAGCATTATTTACAGTAGCCAAGATATGGAAACAATCTAAATGTCCATGAATGGATGGTAGATAAAGAACATGTGGGATATATACAATGGAATATTATTAAGCCATTTAAAAAGAATGAAAACTTGCTATTTGAAACAACATAGATAGAACTTGAGGGCATTATGCTAAGTGAAATAAACCAGACAGCAAAAGACAAATATGATATCACTTATATATGAAATAGAAAAATAAAGAAAAACTCACAGATACAGAGAACAAACTGTTGGTTGCCAGACATAGAGGGTGCAGGGTGGGCAAAGGGGTGAAGGGAGTCAAAGATACAAGCTTCTAATTACAAAAATACAAGTCAGGGGATACAATGTGCAGCCTGGCAACTACAGTTAATAATACTGGATTGCATATTTGAAAGTTGCTAAGAGAGTAAATCTTAAAGGTTCTCATCACAGACAAAAAAATTCTGCAACTATGTGTGGAAATGGATGTTAAGTAGACTTATTTTGTTGAACATTTCACAGTATATAAAAATATTGAATAATTATGTTATACACCTGAAACTAATATAATGTTGCATATCAACTACACCTCAATAAAAGGTATACACCTTTTTTAAAAGAGGAATCATAGATTTAGATCATCACCACTCTACAACCCCTAATGAAATGGATCTAGGCTACAACCACCTATGATGCTATAATCATTAGTGAAAGGTAGAAAGATAAGTTGACTCTACTTGAACCCACTAATCAATCTTAACATCTCCAAAAGAGTCATCTGGACGTCACGCAGACGCATGATGTGATGTGATGCAAGGGATTTTATGCAGCACCACCTACGAAGAATGCTTGGCCTTTGAACTTGAATTTAATCAAGCCTCTACATCTAACTGCCAGATTACAGGAAACATGGAGAATAGAAAAACAAGTGAAACAACGCCATAGTAAGAAATCAGCCCAGAAAATGGGACATTCTATTGGATAAATGACCCGTTCCCTCCATCAAATCAATGGCATGAAAAAAGAGGCAGGGGATGGGGAGTGGGGGGGGTGGAGGGACAACTAGTAAATTAGATTTAAAAACCAAATGACCAAATGCAATGTACGAACCTCATTTAGTTCCTGATTTCAACAAATAATAAGTAAAAAGATATCTTTGAGAAAATATGAATATGGGAATTATATTAAAGAATTATTGTTAACATTTTTAGGTGTAAAAAAGGCATAAAAGTTGTTTCTTTAAAAAAAACATCCTTATCAGAGATGTAAACTGAAACATTTATCAGTGGGATGACATGATGTTTAAGCTTTTACTTTAAAATACACCAGCCCCCCACAAAAAAATGGGGGAAGGTGGAAATAAATGAAACAAGACTGGCAAATGTTAATAACCATTGAAACTTTGGTGCTTATTATACTAATCTCTCACAACCTCAAAACACGAATAAAGGGTTTTGGTAGGAATTCAAGCTGTGCCTTATCTTACCACGAATATTTAAAGAGGTACTGGGGTCCTCCCACAGGGCAAAATTTAGTCATTCCCCACTTAGCCTAAAAAAGTGCAGAGAGTCTTAATCTTTGTGCATTTGGAATTCAATATGATTAGAAGTGACTGAAACCAAGGAACCCTAGAGTTCTGCAGTATCAACCAAATGTCAGCTTAATTTTTCCCAGTAAGAGAGCACCTAGAAGACATTTGGGTTGGGCAACACAATCCACAAAGAATTTACTGGATGACAGTTGCTATCAGATGTGTGGGAGCCCAAGGCAGCATGGACAAGAGCCGCCAGTATTCCTCAACCCAGTCTTGGTCAATGCAAAAGGTGCAGACTTTCTTACCAACTTGTATAATGCACAAAGCTGCTTTTTTTAAACCAGGAGTAGTAATTTTGTGTTAACTTGTCCATATAGTCACTTAGCTGTAATCTAAAGGTGCAGCCCATGAAATACAAAGCAAAAGGTCCATAGAAGTCTCTAGCCATGAGTCATTTGATTAGCATCATTGCCCTAAACAAGGGGCTAACCAGATGACCCTAGATGCTCGCAAGTCACCACATGGTTTGGTATATGTAGTTCTTCAAAATACTTCTTAAGGGCTGAATGTTTGTGTCTCCTCAAAGTTTGTAAGTTGAAAACCTAAACCCCAGTGTGGTGGTATTTGGAGATGGGGTCTGTGGGGAGCATTTAGGGCTAGACTAGGTCATGAGGGTGGGGCCTCCATGATGATATTAGTGGGCTTATAAGAAAAGGAAGGGAAAGAGATTCTCTCTCTCCGTGCGCATGAGGAATGGCCACGTGACGAAGCAGGGAACAGGCACAGGAAGAAGGTGGCCATCTGCAAGCCAGGAGGAAAGCTCTAACCAGAGGCCAAATCGGCTGGCACCCTGACCCTGGACTCCCCAGCATCCAGAGCTGTGAGCAAATAAATTTCTGTTGCTTAAGCCACCCGGTTTATGGTATTTTATTATGGCAACTTGAGAAGACTAATACAGGTTATTTCACCCATTTTTCTTTCTTTCGAATTCCTGTATCTCTGATCTAGAAGGTTCCAAAATCACAAAGTTCCAAAGCCAAAGGAGGTGAAGATGGTCGAAAACTGAGTTTCCAACAATGGAAAATATGACAATCTTCCCCGAACAAGAAACTGGCCATGCACTTATGAAATGTGTTTGGAATGTCCCAAAGAGAGGAGTGTTAGCACGGAAGAAGGGTTAATAAAGTACACATTATTTGAAGTAACCACATTCAGAATAATTAAGATAAGCATAAATTTGTATATTGGCAAGGCACACAACATCACCCCGGGCAGCGAGGAACACAAGCCTCCATGCAGATGAACACTTCAGATCTGTTTACACAGAAACCCTCAGCACTGCCCTTCCCAGATTGCCTGGCTGCCCTCATGTCTCAGTGTTCTGTGCCATGAAAAAGTAACTGTCAAGGATAACAGGAACATGATCTGACCTACTTTTCCCTAGATTCCTGCAAAGTCTACCACTCTGGTTCTTGCATTTATTTAGCGATCACATGTTTGGGACACAGTTCCTCACATTCTCTGCAGGCCATAATGCCACATATGAAGGTCACTTGTAGGCAGTTCCTAAACTCTCCTGGTCATGAACCTAAACACGTCCTATTGCACCCAGCTAATCCGCAGAACACCCTTCTGAGGTAGATCATGTACAGCCGTTCAACGTGGGAAAGGAAATGCCTAAGAAAGGAAGAAGGCAGCCTAGAGAGGTTGAAGACCTACATCAGTTCAGACCCTTCCATACCCACAGGAAGCCACACCAAAATAAGGGTTTCTCCCTAGCTCTCAAGCTTCCACAAACCCACTTTTACAAGAACTAAAAGTCCCCCAGTGAGGTCTGCTTTTACAGGCAGACAACCAAGACTTCATTTTAAAAATTACAGCCCCCCAAATCTACCTTATTGCAGCTTTTCTGTAAAACCTGATTAACAATGATACAGTAAAACAACACAAAACTGTGTAGAACCCACCAAAGCTGTCCCGAAGCCCTGGTGAGCAAGGGAACCTAAGGCCTTCTGAGTGGCTAGTGTCAGGATGCCAGCAGTTCATCATCCACTTCTCTAACACACAAAACATGTCTGACCTGCTCAGGCCATAGACGCTCTTAAACTCCAACGAGGGACACTTCTTCACTAATAATAATAATAATAATAATAACAACAACAATAATAATATCTGAATACACCAGCAGAAAGTATTAAGATTTAAGATGGGGGGGGGGGGCGTGCACCCTCAGTTCAAAGTGGCGTCACCGAATACTAAGTGCTGGAGACTCCGGAACCCAGGAGCTAGAAGCTCCTTTGGTAACTTCAACTCGGGCCGCCTCCCCTCGGCGGTGGGGGCGGCCACAGCCAGTCCCGAAGCCCAGAGCTATCAACGGCGTGTCCAAAACAAGCGCACACATCTCCTGCCTCCTGCCAACGGGGATCCCACTCGTGGGCCCTGAAGCTTGCTGTCCGACACGGCTGGCCGCCTGTTAGGCACCGGACACCTGCAGCTTCCCCTCTGGGGAGAGGCAAACGGCCCTTCTTAGGGCCATGCCCACCGTCAGGCAGCCGGAGTCCAGGTGTTCTGGGGTTGATCAGGTGCATCTGGGGGGAGGGGAAACCGTCGCTCACCCCGGGACACCCTAGGACCCCGCTGTCCCCGGACCCTCTCCTGGCTGGTCCCACACAAGGCTCCTCCTTCCACCACCTCCGGAACTTCCCGCCGCCGTCCTCAGCGCCCGAGGGTGGGCGCGGGTCCACGTGCGCCGCCCTTGCCCACTCGGCGGGACCGAGCGACACTCACCCGGGCCCCGGCCACGCTCCGCTTCCTCCGCAGCGTGAGCCCGCTCCGCAGCAGCGCCGGCAGGTCCCTGAGCCGCGGCCTCGGCGGCACCGGCGGCTGCTCGCGCGCGGGCTCCTGGGCGCAGGGGCTGCGGCGCAGGGCGCTGTCAGCCGCTGCCACCGCCACTGCCCGGGCCAAGGCCGGGCTCTCGCACGGAGGCTGCATCTTGACTGAGCCCACGGCCATCCTCATGCCCTGACGGCGCTGCGGCGCCAGCAGCTCCTCTCCCCTGCGCTCGCCTCCGCGCACCGTCCGCGCCTTCGCCAGGCAGCGAGAGGGCGCGACTGCGGCTCGGCGCGGGGCGCGCTTGCCAGCCGCTGCCCATTGGCGCGCGCCGGGGCCTCCGCCTGGCTCAGCCCCGCGCACCTCCCCCTCCCCGCCCAGGTGCACCGCCCCGCCCCGCCCCGCCCTCTCCCCCGGCTCACCTCCGCCTGCGGACCTGGGCCCCTCAGTCATCCCGGAACCCAGAGGAAAGGGTAGGACACCCTCTCAGCCATATGCGGGGTTCCCAGAATCCTCCACCAAACCCACTTTACTGCCCACCCCCAAGTCCAATTAATTCCCTTCGGCTGAGAAGCCCCACTTCACTCCCTTTTCCTAACAGACAGAATTGACTTGGACTTCGACCAAGTGAACTGAGAAGTCTGAGACACTCCTTCCCCATAACCCCTCCTTGCTTTTTGCACAGCCTAGCCCCAAATCATAATCGCTACTCCTGGAAACGTTTGTGCCAAAGAACTTCAAAATAGGCTCTCAGTCTACTACAAGTCACACGCCATTGCCCCTGCCACACTGTCCCCTCTTTAGCACCCTCATCATGAAAGGTTAAAGGGAGAAAACTTGTGTTGGTTATGATAGGTGTTTAGCAAAATAAGTGCAAGTCTGGTGACCCGAAGGTGAATCTCTATTAACAAGTTGGAACCTGACCTTCCCTGAAAGCCGAACGCGCGTGATGAATGTGCTTCGTAAACTGTATAGGGCAGCATGGTGTGAATCATTGTTTACACCATTCCAGGAGCTAGGAATAGTGGAGCGTTGAGAGGAAACTATTCTAGCAGGGCCTTGAGATCTAGGTGGCTGTGAATCTCATGTCCTACATCCTCAACAAAGGCCAGTTAGGGCTTTCACTCCTTATCAGGAGGATACCGGGGTCCCCATCTTTGCCTAAAATTTGTAAGAATTGAATAAGCATACTCACATTAAAAAAATAAAGTGGACAAATAAGGATTACAGGAGGTCAGGGCCCTGCGTTGGTTTACGGTTGTACTCTGAACCCCTCACTGGGGAGATGCTTGGCAAATACGTATGGAAATGTGGCCATGTAAGGAAAAAGGAAGATTGACCTGTGACCTCTGACTGCAGAGAATTTAAGATTTGGCCCAGGAGAAAATAAACATATAGAAAAACAAAGAATTGCCTTGCACTCTTGGTAATTGCCAAGCGAGTGTGAATAATCCGAGGGATCCGAGCCACAGGAGCGAGAAATACTTCTGGCCTGGGATGGGCAAAGAAAAGTCAATGGAGGCGGTTTAAACTGTGCCTTAAAGCTGAGCAGGGAAGATTCAACTAAGCAGAAAGGAGGGGGAGGGTCCTTCAAGTCAAGAGGAAAATCATGACAACAATGCCAAGGCGGTATCACACAGAACCTATCAGGCACTGCGTGTGTCATACTGGTGGGAGAGAGGGATCCATAATATAATGGGAAAGCTGGAGACAACATTAGAAAGAATGCTGGTGACACACTGCAGAAGGCCTTAAATCCTGTCACCACAGGCTATGTGGACAGAACTCTGCAATAAACTCTATAGTCCATCACAATTTCCAAATACCTATCACACTTATTTATTCAAGGCTGAGATCGCACTTGCATGCACTATGTAAGACGTACCAGTTGATACAGTGTTGAAACACTTCAGCCCCAATTGGAAATCAGTCATTGCTTCGTGCCCCAGGATGTCACCCCATACTCCAGACTTCCTCTTGAAATACCAGCTGAAGGTCCAGTAATGCTATTCCAGGACACTTTTGGTCAATGTTCACTCTGATTAGTGAGTGTTTGTACCATTTCATTCTTTTTTAATTTAAATTTTATTTTTCCATCACCATTTATCCCCTTTATGCCCTCTTCTACCTCCACCACCCCGCGCAATCACCACACTGTTGGCCATGCCCAATCCCTCAGCCCCACCCCCACCAGAGCTATCTCCTGCTGTCTACGAGTCTCTCTATTTTGCTTGGAAGTTCAATTTGTTCATTAAATTCCACATGTACTCTTTCATTCTTGGTGAAATCTTTCAAATCACTCCATAAAGCTAATTTGCTGTAAAACTGTACATGTGGGTTCTGTCTCCTAGTCCAGATTCTTGGTCTTGACCATCTTTCACACAGATTCTCAATGCCAGACCAGGGAGTTAAGACTTCATCCTGTAGATTCTATGGCATTGACCAAGGGTCTAAAACTCAATATCAATAAGGACCCTTGGAAAGTTGGCTTGAATTATAGTAATAAATGAAAATTGCTATTCAACCACAGTATAAGGCAGACAACAGGAAATAAGCAGAAGAGCCATGCCACTATTTAGCTTAAGTCAATCAATGTCCCACCCCAGGACCTTTGCACTTGCTATACCCTCTGCCTAGAATATTCTTTCTCTGCGATGCTGCCCAATAGAACTTTTTGCGATGGTGGACATATTTGTATGTGTTTTGTAGCCATTAGCCATATTGAGCACTTGAAATGTGGCTGGTGTGCCTAAAAACACTAAATTTTAAATTTTATTTTATTTGAATTAATATATATTTAGATCGCTACATGTGGCTATGAACTACTCTATTGGAAAGGAAAGTTCTAGAAATCCATGTTTCCCTTTCTCTACTCAAGTTGTTTTAACTGGATGCCTCATGTCAGTGAGGCTCCCATGACCATGTGGCTTAAAGCTGTAGTGCTCCCTCCCTACTCTTTCGTCGTGCCCTTCCTGGCCCCCCAGAGCCTGTTGACTTACAGTATTCTGTATATTTTTCTTATTCCTTTATCTGTTGTCTGCCTCTCCATCCTAGAATCTAAGTTCCACAGGGACTGATTTTTTTTTTCCCTTTTGTTCAATATCTAGAACATATTAATTGAGCAACTGAAGTTCCACATGTGAGAACCCAGCTTTTCAAAAGGAACCTAATTGGCTCAGCGGTTAGAGCATCAGCCTGTGGACCAGAGAGTCCCGGGTTCAGTTCCTGCTAAGGGCACATACCTCGGTCGCAGTTTGTCCCCAGCCCTGGTTGGGGTCGTGCAGGTGGCAACCACTCAATGTGTCTCTCTTACATCGCTGTTTCTCTCTCTCTCTTCCTCCCTATCTCCCACTGTGTCTAAAGATAAATGCAAATGTCCTCAGATGAGGATGAAAGAAAAAAAAAGTTTTAAAAAAATGTAAATACTAAATATGCCAACATCACAGAGATCAAACAAAACCACTGTGGTACTTGAGCCAATTTTTACCTAGGGAATGACATCATCAAAGGTAAAGTTTATGGAAATACCTATGTAAGAAAATACAAGTTTTATTGGCTATTTGCAGTGAAGGGACATTGGAGCCAGGAAGATAAATCTGACAATTAACTAGCTACAAAGAGACGAGGAACTGAATTAGTGGAGTCAGTGGCAACAGGGGGAGGTTAGATGTTAGACTTTACAGCATGTGTTAGGCTTCCAACATGTGTTAGGAGGAGTAGAAAAGTACTCCGGTGGTGTTACTTTATCTTACAAAGATGACCACACAATATGCCTGTCCCCAAGATCTTCTCCAATATGATCTTGCCACTCCCCCATGAATAGACAGGGTTCATTTCTCCATCCCCTTGAACCTGGGCAGGCCCTGTGACTACCTTGGCCAATGGAATACAGCAGTTCTGTAAGTGTCCTTATTGTCCTGGTAGCTTACACTTTCTGCTCTCTTGGAATACTCACTCCTTGGATGCTCCCATTTGGAACCCACTTTCCATGGTAGGAGAAGCCCAAAACACATGGCAAGTTCATGCAAAGGTGCTCTGGCAGCTGGGAGTCCACCCAACAACCAGCTTTAATCGCTAGCCATTTGTATGCTACCTTGGGACACCCTGTCCAACCAAGTCTTCGTATACCTCCTGTACTAACCAACTTTTGGCTGTAACCACCGGTGAGAATTCAAAGCAAGAACTGACAACTAACAGCGCCCAATCAACTCACCAAACTATGGAGAGAATAATAAACTATTTTAAGCCACTAAATTTAGAGGTATTTGTTATACAACAATAGACCACAGGATTCAGAAAAGCGTGAAGAATATAATCCCCTGTGAATAAAAAGGAAGGAAATTTATATTCATATTTGTAGGTAGGTGAAGAAACTTGAAATTTCTTACAAGTGGCTGGAATTGGCTACATGGGGAAAGGAAAGACAGGAAATTTTTCATGTATAACATTTTTGGTATTTTAAAATACATGTGAATGTATTTCCTATTTTAAAAATGGTTCCAGATTTAGAGAAGTCAGGGAAGTAGAGGGAGGTGGTTTTGAGGGTTTAATTTTGCACAGCAGTTGAACTTACCAAATTAGAAGGCACTCAAGTGAAAATCCGACCAGCAAGAGCAGCTGGAGCTCAAAGAAAGGACCACAGATACAGCTATGCCAGTGTCCAAAAATATGATTGTAAAGGGTGAACCAGACTGTGGTGCTCAGAGGGTAGAGAAGGCACAGAGACAGTCCACCCCTTCCTGGGGTGAGCCCTCAGAGAACACACAGCAAATGACCTTCTGTTCCCAGACGTATGGACTTTGGAGTAGTGACTCTCATGGATTTTCCTCCTTAAATGTTTGTGGTCTCGTGTGATTAGCTTGAATTCCAAGGAAAGCATCTATTAGCTGGGATTTCTCTTGTGTTTTCACTCCCTGAGTACCTGCTTGTCTCCTGATAAATGTACAAAATACATGCCATGCTAATGAGTCTCCTAACACCATAGCTATTAGGAACTTGATGAATCCTCCTTCGAGTCCATCCCTTCCTAACGTCTTCTGGCTTTACTTTTTCCCTCATTTAAGATGGTTTGCATTGCTTTACCAGCTCTCAAAAATAGAAAACCTAAATGCAATTTTGTTTCCCTATTCAAGCTTGCCAACACTTCAGCATGCAATGATCAAAATGGATTGAATGTGACCTTCCCAAGG